CTCACAGAGTTTAGGATACACACATTTCAGCTGAAGTAAGGAAGTGGAAATCTCGATGATAACAAGTGCAGATTCAAAAACCATGAGGTCATTTAATTTATTATAAAGAAATATTTTGTTATGGTAGAAAAAAACAAGAACATGAATTTTTAAATTTTAAAACAGCCTAAATTCTTTGTATTTGAAGATATTAGTAAGCAAATTAAATTGCAGAATGTCATCTCATTGTGTACTGTGTGTGTATTTATATGTATGTGCGTGTGTGTGTGTGTGTGTGTGTGTGTGCGCACGCGCGCGAGAGTGTGCATGTGTGTTGGTTCTAGGGTCTGAATTCAAGGCCTGGGTGCTGTCCCTGAGCTCTTTTGCTCAAGGCTAGTGTTCTCCCACTTGAACCACAGCTTTTTACTGGTTAGTTGAAGAGAAGAGCCTCATGGAAATTCTTGGGCTGGCTAACTGTAATCCTCAGATCTTCTAGCTTTTTACTGGTTAGTTGAAGAGAAGAGTCTCATGGAAATTCTTGGGCTGGTTGTAAACTGTAATCCTCAGATCTCAGCCTCCTGAGTAGTTAGAATTACAGATGTGAGCCACTGGTACCTGGCATCATTTTGTACTTTCCATTTAACTTTCTTACTAACTCAGATGTTCTTTGCATATGTTGGAAGTGATACAGCACTTGCAAAATCCTTCATTAATAATAGGTCAGGGAAAGGCCAATTTACATTCTCTTTTCCCTACTCCCTTCCTTTTCCAGTGACTTGTAACCCAAGGACTATTTTGAAGTCAACTTCCTTGTGCCTAGTTGCTTGTGTTCTGGAGGCAACCCATAGCTCCTGGTCTGACACAACCTCTGCCAGCACCATGGAGGAAAATGTTCTATTATCTCCCTGGAGAAAGCTCTGTTGGCTACAATGAGGAAAATGCTTAATGACCACTTAGTACTTGCAAAACAATTTAACATGATTACCAATAAGAAAGTTTAATAAGCAATATCCTAGTTATTTTGTTAATTTTGTTCTATTTGCACATTCTCACTAACCACGACCTTTCTGTTCATAAAAGTACATTAAAAAAATCAATGCCCAGGTGCTGTGCCATTTTTTTTTTTTACATCTAAATGGCAATGTCCAAGTAACATCTCCTGTATGGGTGGTTGATAATTAAAATGCCAGATGACACCATGGTGAGGAGTTCAGAAATATTTATGTGAGATAAATTATTAATTTATGTTCAAGGCAGTTTCAACATGATAAACATTTACCAACCTTGATCATTAAATGGGAGTGATTTGGGATGTATTAGAATTATGCTATAGATTTTCTTTTGATTTTTTTTTGTCCACCTATATTTTCAATTAACTAGGTAAAATCACTTTACATGAATAAGCCTCAAGAAATCAGACTATTTTTTTAAATTCCCACTTTAATGAAAAGCATATAAATAACCAAAGTGGAAAAGACTGAACAAAACAACTGAAGTTCTTCTTGTGCCCATCAACTAAGTACTTGTTAGTGAAAAAGTATGAGGTGAAAAGAATGTACTTGGGACCCATGACTACACAGATGGGAGCTTAAATAAATAATATGGAACCCTGTTCTAGTTCTCTGAGGTAATATGGAGATGTTGCTGGACACCTGGTTGGCTGGAGATTTTATCTACAATTAGGCAAATAAATCCGAGGCAGCATTATTTCCCACCAGTTACTTAAAATACAAATATTGTTTCTCTCAGACTTGAGTAGTGGTGGTGTCAAGCACTTATTGTAAAGGCTTTTTGTCTGCTCTGGCCTTAGAAATGGTCAAGCTTTCCTAAAAGACTGCCCACTGTATGAACAATGCAGAGGAAGGCTTTGTACAGTTTCAAAGAGAAAAGTCAGACAAGAAACAAATAGAAACAATATGATTTTGAATGATTGTTCAACTTAACTTTTGTTACTACTAACTGTACAAAGAAGTTTTATTGTGAAATTTACTTATGTGCATATACTATACTTTGATCAAATTTACCCCATCTATATTGCTCTTTTTTAATAATCTCCCCCCCACACACACTTTTATTGATTTTTAGTGGGTTTCATTATGCTTTCTTCCTTTTTATCCTCCTCCTCCTCCTCCTCCTCCTCCTCCTCCTCCTCGTCCTCCTCGTCCTCCTCCTCCTCGTCCTCCTCCTCCTCCTTCTCCTCCTCCTCCTCCTCCTCCTCCTTCTTCTCCTCCTCCTCCTCCTCTTCCTTCCCTTTTTGCTAGGTACCAAGATTGGGACAAAGAGCTTCAGACTTGCTTAGCTTACATGTTTTGCTGGTGTTTACCACCCGAGTCATGCCTTCAACACAGAATTTTGCTGGTGATTTTGGAAATGTAGTCTCAAAGTCCTTTCTATACAAGATGGCTTAGGACCTTGATCTTCTGGATCTTTCTTTCTTAAATAACTAGAGTTATAAATAGGAGTCACTGGTGCTGGGTTATGCTATTCATACACTGAATGAATTTATTTTACTGATGAAGAGTTAATTGTCAGTTTGAACATGTTCCATTAGAAGTATACTTTCAGCTATGTTCTATAATCTAGATGCTTGCTGTTATGTATTCAATATGTTGTGAAAATAATTTCAAGGAGGAACAATAAGTTAAACTTTGCTTTTCGGACTTGTTGGGTTATCATAAAGAATATATCCAGGTTGACCCTATAACCCCTTTAAATTTTAGCATTAATCTTTGTGTTTTGTTAATATGGAAAATTGGTAGCAATTTAAAATCCACTTCCCTCTTGATTCTCCACGTATTAATTTAGGGATTTATTTTAAATCTCTGAAGCAAATGCATTATGAATATTTCAGGTTACTCAGTAAAAGTAGAACAGTTGATAAGTTAAGACAGAATCTACTTTTAATTTCAGAAAGAGAATCAATTCATGGATTGCCTAACATTTTCCTGGAAGACAAATGTCTCACTTGTTGCTTCTAAAAGCATGACAAGAAATCTGGATTTTCTTTATATCATTTTACCAATAGGGTATTTATACACATACATTCTACTTTACTCTTTCCTTGAACAAGCATGGGTGTGTACGCACATGCACATGTGCACATGAACATTTCTCCTAGCTTCATGATATGGCATATTTTATTCATATTCTCATCCTGACACCCCCTCTCTCTGTCTCTCTCCCTGTCTTCCTATCTGCTGTCTGTCTCTCTCATTCACACCCACACCCATTCTTCCCCCTACAGAGCTCTTTAGCCATGTTTATGTGCACATTTCTTTCAAGTATTAATGAGGATTCCTCTAATCATGACCTCCAAGTTGCAGAAGTATCAGGTGGCATCCTACATATACATCCCTTGATTGACTTTTGTGATGTGTTCAGTGGTGATTACTTTCTAGAATGCTGATAACCATATGATACACATTCTTGTATATGGCATTTACTTCACTGTATTACAGTGCATTACTTTACACCAAATATATGCTATATTGTTCAGATTTCTGTTTATTTTTCTTATATAGATGTCTCCCCCTCCCTTGCCCTCCCTTCTTTATGGGTGTGCGGGCACTCAGAACCTTGCACTCTCGCTCAACTTTACACTTAGGCTGACAGTTCTAGTTAAGCCAGCCTCCAATTCTGGCTTTTTGCTAATTAAGTGGTTGTAAATGTCTCTCATATTTGTCTGCTGGGACTGGATTTGAATTTTAATCCTCAGATCTCAGCCTTCTGAGTAACTAGGTATATAAGCATGAACATTAACACCCACTTGCCCTTTTATATTTAAACAATATATTAGAAATCCTATGGTGTTGTCTTTAGAGTAGTTCCAATTTGTAGAAACATCTTTGGCATCATTAACACTTTACTACAGTTCATAGAAGTAACTTTTCATGACTTGGAGTTGCCCATCTGTTCAAAGGTTTAGGATTAGCTTCACAGCTCTTCCTGAGGGACAGTCATAAACCCTGATCTCATGCTGCTCTGAAGATAGATATTAGCTAAGAATATAAAAGGATATCTCTGTGTGATAATCCAACAAGTGTGCAGGATGGAAATGGATCTACATCTGCCTGAAGTATTAGAGCGTTCCAACTTAGGTCTCCTGCTTTCTTCTTGGATCTTTACTACTCTACCAGAGTTTTGGCAACATCTTGGTGAATTTCCTGCTATTAGGACACATGAAAACACTAATTTCCTATTTAAATCTTGCCATTTGGATGAGGTACACATTCAGAAAGTATCTGAGCCTACCATGGCATTCTGTACACATGTTAGTTGTAGCTTGCTCTGGCTCTTTACTGGATGTGACCATATTTTCATTGCTTTAATGGTGGGATTAGTTTTCTTATGACGCTTGCTGCCTCATGAAGAAGGTTTGGCTCCCTCTGTACATATACGAAGATAGCTATTATGTGTGTAGAATCCGAAGTTATCAGAGGGTTGACACTCATTGTAGCTCTTTGCTGTATCTTTTTTTTTTTAAATACAGAAACATCTATATTGAAAACAGTGGCCGGTCATACAGAAATTAAGCCAAACTTTTTTCTTTCTTCCTTTCTTTTTTTTTTTTTTAAATCAATGTAAATCTCCCATGCTGTTTAAATGTCGGAACTAAATTTACCAAACTTGGCAGATTTGTAAAGCTGAACAGGAGTGCCAAGTATGCCCAGTTTCAAGCAGAGAGAGTTCTAACAGTTCCTGAAATACTTGTAGGAGGCACCTGGCGGCAGTCACAGTTTCACAATCCTTCCCCAGCGCCTACCTTGCTAGCTGCCATCTCTACACTGATTATTACAGTGACGATAACGTGTCAGAATAGCACAGTCTTACAAAAAGGAAGGCAAGCACATTCCCTCAGAATCATTCTGCTGGAGAGCCCCAAGCAGGAATTAAACTGAGTTCCCTGACATCATAGTGAGCTGATTTTGCCAAACAAATAAAGAGGGAGCCGTTGGGAGATGGAAATCACACATGTATACCTACAGCTATGACAGATATGCCTTTCTTCTCCACTTTATCAGGGATTGTTGTCTGAGATTCTGCGAAAGGAAGAAGACCCTCGGACAGCCTCTCAGTCTCTTTTGGTAAACCTGAGGGCCATGCAGAATTTCCTCAACCTGCCGGAAGTGGAGCGGGATCGAATTTATCAGGATGAGCGAGAACGAAGCATGAACCCCAATGTGAGCATGGTCTCCTCCGCCTCGAGCAGCCCCAGTTCCTCCCGAACCCCTCAGGTGAGATGTTGGCTCCACTCTTCACTTGGAATCACCTTGCTGCACGGAGACTCTTGAAAACTAAGTGTTCTAATCCAAGGATTTCTTAATCTAGTGGGTGTGTCGGTCAAAGGATATATGGTCTTTGGCATATAATGATTGTAACCCTGTAGTATCTTCTATACCATTTCTATCTCTCTAGGAAAGTCACACTCTTCTACATGTGGTATATGTATGGGATGAGGAGTGGGAGTCATGCTCTGAGAGCATATAACTGCTTAGTTAGGGAAGAAATAGGAGTTTGGGTAAAAGCCGAGTTTGTATAGCAAATACATTGCTTTTCATTTGTGTGTGTGTGTGTGTGTTTGTATTTTTCAACTCAAGGCCTCGGCACTGCCTCTGAGTGTTTTTTTTTTTTTTTCCTTTTTCCTCAAGGATAGCGCTCTACCACTTGAGCCAAAGCTCCACTTCTGATTCTTGGTGGTTAATTGGAAATAAGTCTGACAGACTTTCCTGCCCAGGCCGGTTTTGAACTGCAATCCTCAGATCTCTGCCTCCTGAGTAGTTAGCATTACAGGAGTGATTTACCAGGGCCCAGTTATGGTTTTTTGTTTTTGTTTTTTGTATGGGAAGAAAGTAGCTTGGGGCAAGGGATAGAGAGTAGTCTTAAGTTTTGTTTTATGCAATTCAAAAAAAATGGGGGGATCCCTTGCCTAAGGAAGCATGCAAAGGCAGTGGTTACCACAGACAGTTCGAGTGTCACTCAGTGTTTGCTAGAAAATGATAATGAAAAAGTAGGCCTCAATGACTTTCCAGGATGATCTCATTGGATTTGGTGGTTTCCATCTTTCCTTTCTATACACTTTTACAATGTTCTGATCTAGGCCCTCTTGCAAGTGTGTGTGTCTAATAACACACTTTAAAACTTCTAGTTGCATCTAAGGACTGGAGGCTATCAGGGGTCATTTCCAATTCATATCTGAGCCCACTCATACCTCATCTACTCCTTATTTCCCCTAAATTTTAATACTCAATTCGTTTATGATGAAGCCATCTCATTCACTGTTGCTTGGATAAAGCATGGGTTCTGACTGAGTGATGGTTCTCAGAGCCATCTTAGTGCCAAGAACACATTTGTGCAAATGTGCTTCCCAACCAAAGATTGTTGTGTTTAGATATTAGAGTTTTTGTTTCATACAATTTCATTTTCTGATAAATTCCATGGAGCTGATTAAGCATAAAACCAGAACTTTGTTCTAGTAGAAGTCTTTCTGTCTTTTTGAAGTATATAAACTTTTATTTACACTGATAGTGACTCCCATATTTTTGTGCTGTACATTTTTAAAAATCATTTTCTATCATATACTACCATATTGTTCTTAGTAAATTATGAGTTTTTATTAGTGTTCAGCTAAAAATATGTCTCTTCTTGCTTTGGACAAGTGTAACCAAGTGTTTTTATTTCTTTTTCTCTAGGATTTAGGGTGGACACACTGATTAAGTTGAGCAAGTTGTTAATTTTCACTAATATTTACTTTTCAACACTTTGAAAGCCTGTTAGATTGTTGTTGGAGAGCCTGGCCATCCTTCATGTCCATTTAATCATGCACAGTTTTTTCAGAATATTCCTTACTTTTACTTGTTAGAAACAAATACAAGTATATTTGTTTTGTTTTCTGCTCCTTTTAAAATAATTTTCTACTAAGATTCTATCTTAGGCACTTTTTCAAAGACCTGATAGTTTCCAGTACTTGACTAATTTGTAACGCTACACAGTGAGTGACAAAATTGTGGGATACTTAAAAAATAAATTAAAACCACACATAATTCCATCTTGAAAATTCCTAGATAAAAGGCTAAGGCCTAGCAGGAAAGCAGATGCTTGCCAACCCAGCCAGCACTGGTGGATCTGGAGATGCACAGTGGTCCTGATCCGTGGCTTTGGAGCCTGAAAGACTTTTGAGTTCAGGCCATTCATTGTAACTTCACATGGGGCAGTGGGTCCTTTAGCAAGTTCACTATCCTCCTTTTCACCATCAGATTCTTCATCTGCCTCTTGAGTCTCTCATCGGAATCAGATAAGAAAAGCCAAAGCATGTTCTAAGGGGGTCTGGCACACAAAGAGAGGCCACTTCTCTTTTTTTAGACTCATTGACTTGGCAGTAATTAGAAAATAGTATGAGGCAAGACGGTCAAAGGAAAATGGCAAACATTACTTCATGCTCTTAGAAAAAAGCAAAAGGTTCATGTGAATTTAGAGCATTGAATACCGTCTAAAGACATCTTTGCAAATGATGGCACAGTGTCCACACTCCTGACCAGCACACTGCTTGAGCTATGGAGAAAGCACAGGGCACCAGCAGAGGGAAGGTTAGGATTTGGCAACAGCTCCCTTGCTTTTGGGGTCTAAGATGAATGAGGCAAAAAGACAAAGTCCAGTTTAGGGCTATTCCACCAGCAGGGTTCCTGTGCCCACAGAAGAGGGCTGTTCTCAGGGCCCTGACGCTGGGGGAACAAGAAATCTGCCAAGACCCCTTGAGCAAAGCATCTTAGGCCCAGACTAAGCAAATACTCTGACAGTCTTTCAGACCAAGTTGACTCCGATGTTTTAGGGTATTCCTAACCCCAAGAAGCACAGACACCTTCTGTATTGTCCTTCATTTGTCTCCGAAGCTGATGGGAAATCATTCAATTAAAACGAGCACGGCAGACTACATAAAGCCACAATATGAGTTTAAGAAAATGAAAACGGCATATCAAAGGCATTCTGAAGCCTAGTCTCATGAAATGAAATTTTGTTTCATTCCCACTGATTTCCTAGGTGAAATTAGGTGACTGTCTGGGTAGCATAATGATGATAGTGTTAGGAAACCATACATACTCAAATGACATACATACAGCTTTAATAAAGAATGAGAGAGACTCGGGGGAGGACATTAAATCGAGTAATAATTTATTATTTAGAGACCTCTACCCATTTATTCTTTTTTTTTTTTTTTCTGGAAGAATTGACTTCCTGCAAAGGTGTTCTAGTTTTCAGAAAAAAGAAGGTGTGTATTCTGCATGTTTGTTTGGCAGCTAGGTGAGTGTGTACAGACAGCCTGGCCATCCTACCTGTGCACCACCTCGGATTCTGTGAGGGACAGAGCAGGGTTGACAGGAGTCTGCCTGTCCTATAGGAATGCCCTGCAATTATTTCCAATCACAATTAACCTGATTAGAATAATGGACAGGAAGTATCCCTCTGTAGCTAATGCAGTCTGGCATCAGCTGACTGAAATCCTTTGATAATTTCTGCACAGATGGCTGGGCTGAATGCAGCACTTTTTAAATTATTATTTTCATGGTCTCTTGGTAGGCCAAAACCTCGACACCGACAACAGACCTCCCTATTAAGGTGGACGGCGCCAACGTCAACATCACAGCTGCCATTTATGACGAGATCCAACAGGAGATGAAAAGGGCCAAGGTGTCTCAAGCCCTGTTTGCCAAAGTGGCTGCAAATAAAAGTCAGGTGAGTGGTTTTTAAAGCAGCAAAGCCCACGGCTGGAATCAGACCCTCCTATAAAAATACATCTGTTCTTATAATAATAATAACAATAATAATCCCCAGGGAGCCCGTCATATTCTACCTTTTGCTCCCTGGCTTACTTCTCCTCCCACTGGAGAGAGCCCTAGCTATTTTTTTTCCCTTTAAAGTATTAAAACAACAATGAATCATAATGGAATGATTTCTCCCCTTATTCTTGTGCTATTGTGCACCTTCCTTTTTTGTTTATTCCTTTTATTTGGGGGAGGGGAAAGTCAGTTTTTAAGGTTTTTAAAATTCTTTTTTCTTTGAACAAAACTTAGAATGTTTATAACAGCACCTTCCTAGGGACCGTGTCTAACCAGGTCTCATCTCCTTTCCTGTTCCCTCCAGGGGAAGGATTGGCTTGGCCGTAATAACCACTTTCCCTAACCCCAGAGACACCTTGCGATGTCAGGTGTTTCTTTTATGTACAGAATACAGTTGTTTTTCCAGGGGAAAACACACGTGGGAGATCCAGAGTAAGTGCTAAATTCTAACAGGAAAACATAGAAGCTTACCCAGTAAAAAATTTCAGAGTGTCGGGATTATGGAGAATGCAATGCCCAGGGGAAAGTTGCAGACAGATGCTTAGGTTTTGTTTTTTTTTTTAAATTTCTGAAAGCAGCAACAGTTGGTGGCATCTACTCTCAATTTGTTTAAAGGGACAACTACTTTCTGACTATAGAATTTCTCCATGGTCAGTTTGAGGTGCTCACTTGTTTACCAAGATAAGCAATTAATGCGTGAAGGAAAGGAGAGTCAGTTAAAGCTTAATTTTGAGAGTCCTTTGAATTTGAGCTTGATTTCCTCTGTGACTTTGCATGACAAATGTTTTCATTCCTACATATGTAAATGTTAAAATGGGTCCACCATCACTCTAACAGATCTTCTCATGTGTGCCTTGCGGAAGTTACCCATACCATATTTCTATTAAGCAAGGAAGGTTCCAGAAATATGTTTTTAAAATGACAAATGTTATATTTAGACTAATTATATTGTTTAGAGGTTAGCTTTTTATTTCAACCTGCAGTTTTGTGGTAACCTAAGTTTTTTTCAGATGGTAATAAAGGGAGAGTAAAAGAATATCAAGGAACTTTGAAGAGGACTGAAATGTTTGTTTTCCCTTCTCAATTTCAATGTAACCATTTCTCCAGATTAACTATGACTCTTTTTGTCAATGAAATCAGTGAAATACAGTTTGTTAAGAGATGATGTCCAACCATAGTATGAAATACATGAAAAGAAAATACCATAGAGCCTTCTTAAACTGTTAAATGCATAAAATCCCATGTACCACATGGCAAAATATAATGAGAGTTGGAGCTGTTAAACGAATAAAGCTGTTAAATGCATAATGCCACTTGGCAAAACTACTGTGCATTTAATGGTTTTCCACTGTGTAATAAAGGACATATGTGGTAAATGTGCAGTGAGGATAAAAGCTGCACAATTGATTTTGCAAACCTGCCCCTTAGTTGTGACTTGATGCAAATATCAAAGTTTCACTGGGTCTTTTCTTTTACAAGCATCTTTCAAGAAAAACTGAAGACCACAGTCTGAGAACTTGATTTTAAATGCCTGTAATCTTCTGGGTGCCTTGGCATGCTAGCTATTGGAATTAGCGATGCCTCCAGCCTCCCAAAAGTAATTCAGGTGGCTGATTGAAAGCTGTGGTTGCCAACTGGCAGAAGGGTATTTTGGTGCCTATTGAAGAAATTAGTGTGTAGGTTCTGCAGGCAAGTATATTTCCGGGAATAAACAGGCTGAAGGCAAAGATGGAGCCTAAGTAGGGATAAGACACTTTAGAGGTTTTCTTTTTTTCAGGGGACAATGGTCTCCTTGTTATTTATGTATGGGGAACCTTGTTCCAAATAGCTGAATAGATACATAAATATGCATTGTGAAAATGACACTAATGAGCAAAGTGAATTTAATGATAGTTTCAAGGGTAGTTTAGTAAAGGAAAAGTTTTTCATTTCATTTGTAAACACCAACTTTAACTTGATAGCTTATTTGATGAAAGCGGTTGCCCATCCACTTGGTTTATAAAATCTCAGTACAGGACAGATGCTTACCAAGTCTCATCTAGGGGAAACAAGCACTCCATTAGTTTTGAGAACAGAGACCACAAAAGCTTTCTCTTCTCCTTAATTCCTTCTGCCTTCTATTATTTTTCATGGGAGGGTTCAGGAGTTCTCAAGAGTGATGGAAGAGTTAAATTCATCTCAAGGGCTTTCCATCCTCGTGGAGGCCAAATTAGTGAAACCTTTCATTAGGAACCCTTATGAACCGGAGGAGGCTGGGAGCCCCGAAGGCTCTGTTCAGATATGTTTAACAGCCCTCTCCTCCATTAGAAATTTCTTCTGAAATAGAAAGGAACTTCTGTTAAATCTCCCTCATTCTTGGTTGGTATGAATTGCTATAATCAATGGTTAAAAATTATAGTGAACACTTCCCTGTGTGTTTAGGAAGCTCAGAAGAAGGAGTTAGGAAAATGAGAGGAAATTTTCAGGAGGAATTAAGAGTCAGGCTCAAGTGGTCCTCGAGGGCTGTAACGGTGTCATGGCCGGGCACAGTGTGGGGGGAGGCAGTTCAGGAAAGGAGCAGAAAGGGTGACAAAGGAGTGGTCATGAAAATCCACTACTGAGAAGTGGGTGTGCATTTTCCTAGTGCATGGGTTATGTCAGGATGCATTTTGGCGTCCCAGCTCATGTCCAGGCCCTCTGTCCTAGACAGGTCAGTCCATCATGTAGTTACTCTAGGTGTCTTCCATCTGACCCTGGTCGTTTGCTTCCTGGGAAAGAAGACACAGAAGAACAAAACAAGAAGGAAGGATGTGCTTATGCACGTTGCACCTACTAATTTTCCTTCAGTTTTGACTTAGGGTCAGTTTAGTCACTTGGGATAAAGTTTTTTTTTTTTCTATTTTGTATTTTGTTTGTTTGCTTTTGGCGTGAATTCTAAAGATTGATCTTTTCCTTCTGCAGAAGAGTCAGATCATAGGACAAGAATACATGATAGCTGTTCTCTATGCCATTAGAGGGGAAGTGACCTTAGCAGGAGCCATGATGGAAGGAAGTATATGTAGGACATTTTTAAATCTCCACAGCATCTACCTTCTCTTACAAAGGGCCACCAGAGAACAACTGCCCAGCGTTCAGTGAGGGTGACCACAAGAACTCCTCCTCCTCAGTAAACCTCTGATCACATCCCTATCCCTCAAGCCTCTCCCATTGTTTCTTGCCACCTGTGATCTGGGAAGTGAAGTCAGGGGATTTTTGTGTCAGTCATCTGAAGAGTCTCCCTGCCTTCTTCCAGGGGATGGCAGGTATTTGGGGACCTAATCTGTAGTCACATTCAGATGGAATCAATTGCCCCTTATCCAGCCACTCACACTGTTATAGCCTCAGACCCGGCTCTCTCCACTCTTTGTACCCAGGTGTATTTCAGAGCATAGCGTGCACAGGATCATCTGATCTTTCCCTTCCTTTTCTTTTTTTAAAGAAGAGTATGAATCTATATTAGTTAGTAAACCCCAAGACTCAATTTTCCTACATTTGGGTAAAAATAGAGTAAAGAGAGAAATGAAAGGAGTTTATTTTAATCTCCGTTTCTTCTTCTCTATTAGAAAAATAGAAACAAACCAAGGAAAAAAACCTTTCATCGGTATTCTGTGCTTGTTCTGCGTATTAGGAGAGCAGAAAAGCTGAGATGCTTCTCTCACCCACTCCCCACCACCTACAGAACTCCACTTACTCTCTATATGATTAACCTCCTTTCCCCTAGACTCCATACACATGTGAGATCATACAGTGTAGTTCTCTCAGTGTCTGGCTTACTTCATGTAACATGATGTCCTCCAGGTCTATCCATGTAACAAATGGCAGAATCTTTCCTTTTTAGGGCTGAATAATATTCCATTATAAATGTGTACCTATAGGTATACATGTATCTATAGATATATAACATTTTCTTTACATAGTCATCCATCAACAGATACTTAGATTTCTTCCATATTGTGGCTTTTGTGAATAATACTGCAATGTATAGGGAAGTGCAGATATATTCATGAAATGACACTTGTATAAATGATAATTTATGCCTTTTCTCTTCCTTGAGTATTTACCCAGAAGAAATGTTTCTGCATCATATAGTAGTTCTATTTTTAATTTCTTTAGGAACCTCCACAATGCTTTCCATAATAATTCTACAAACATACATTTCTGTCACTGCACTGGGATCTGTTTTACTCTACACCCTTGCCAACATTTGTTAGCTGTTGTCTTTGTGATAATAGCCATTCTAAGAAGTGTGAAGTGATATTTCATGGTGATTTTAATTTGCATTGCCCTGGTAATTTGTGATATCCAGTACCTTTTCATAAATTGGTTGGCCATTTTTATGTCTTCTTTGGAGAAATGTCAGTTCAAATTGTTTGTCCATCTTTTTAAAAAATGTGTGTGTGTGTGTGCATGTGTGTGTGCGCGCAGATCCTGAGGCTTGAACTACTAGAGGATAACAAGGGCAAGCTCCTTTGTTATGTTAAGAAAGATATATATCTTAATGTTTCAAAGGCCCCAGTAAGTGTGCAGCCAGCAAAACAGAGCATGAATATCTTGGTGGGTCCTTCATTTTCCCCTTCTTTTACGTGTAGCATAATTTCAAAGAATTGAGATCTGTTGAGGGAATATCAGCAGTTTGATATCAACTTCATAAGGAAGAATTAGGTACCACTACTATGATTCATTATGTTAATGTTCCTTACTGTAAAACTGCCCTTTATGGGCATCCTTAGTTTTATGCTGAATACCTTTAACCCGGTGCTAACATTTTCATACTGGTTTGAAGCTCAGATTTGCTGCAGAATCAGTGGTTGAGTTATTGCACAGTGCCTTTGGAAAATCACATGTGACTTTGAAGCAAATCCTGTTTTCATATTAAAG